TTTAGGGAATACTGTTATAGACAATATTTTTGTAAAACCTTCAATACAAACTCCTGCCATGTCTCTCCTCAGTGCCTGGTGAAATGTGCTGCTTTCCTGAACCTGCACTTATTTATAGACATGAAGGATGAGGGGGAGCTACTATTTCTTCTGTGCTACTCAATCTTTACAGCCAGTGTGTAAAGGAGTAGTAAACCCAACCTTCTGTGTGCTCCAAAGGAGACTGACCTCAAAGTTACCTGCAGGGAACTTGACTGGGAAAGACAGAACTGAGCTGAGCTGGCTGGGGGGCCCCAGGGCTGGGGGGAGCAGTGTCACTGAGCTCAGGAAGGTTCCCCTTTGGGGCTTGAAAACCTTCTGGGCTTCATTAAAACGTTCAGTTATGAGCTTTGCCCGGTGCCAGGAGCACTAGAGGGCACTGCTGCAGTTCTTACAGCAGCTCTGCCCTGGTTTCCAGGGGATCAGGGAATCACACAGTGTGCCCGAGCTGGGAGGGACCCATCAGGACCATCGAGTCCAGCTCCTGGCCCTGCACAGGACACCCCAAGAACTGCCTGGGTCTGGGTGGGGTTTGGAGCAGAGTTAAGGGGTGCAGCAGGAGCAGCAGTTGCACCTTCTACCTAATTTGGGTGCCCCTGGCCTGGGGACAGACACAGCTTGTCCTGTCCTGGAGTGAAGTCCCCCATCCCAAGGGCTGTGTGTGCCTTCCTGGGGCTGTGGCACCTCTGACCAGCCCTGAGGGGTGTCTGCTGGACATACCATGGATAAAATCCCCCCTGCCTTGGGGCAGAGCAGTGAGTGACCCCCTGACCCATCACCAAGTGCTCCTTTCCCGTGCCTGGGGGTTGTTCAGTCCCAGATCTGTGAACGCTGACCTGAGTGTTCTCTGAATAAGTGCCCTGCTGTCTCCCAGCAGGTGAATGAATGCTCAGGGACAGAACAGGAAGGGAAGGCAGGATTTGGGACCAGCCCTGGGATCTGTGATGGTGAGTGGGGGATGCTACCAGGACAGGAAAGTTTGTAGAGGAAGAAACTGGGATTTGCAGGAAACTAAACCCGAATCTGCTGGGTTCAAAAAGAAACAGTGACTTTGAGAGGTGGTTACCTGGGGGAATGAGGTGCAGACAGGTCTGGTGGGTGAGGGCAACACACACCAATGTTATTTTGGATGATACTCTGATGATTTTGCTGGGGTTTTTTTTTGTAAATAGCTGCCTGACCATCTAATTAGGAAAATCATCTGTGAACGAAGAGGGAAAATAAATTGGTGCCTCAGTGAAGCCAGTCAGTAACCATGAGAACAAATCAGCCCTCCAGGAGCAGAGCAGGGCTTTTTTCTGGTCCTTTTTGCAGTGCAGTGTTTTGGGGAAAGGAGAGGTTTCCCCTGGGGCCACGGTCACTCTCAGGAGGGAGCAGGATCAGTGGTTTCACCCATTGGAAAAGCAGGTCTGAGTGTGTGTCATTCTTTTATCTGAAAAATTACCCCGCTTTTTTTTTCAAGGAAGAAAAGGATCATTTAACTCCAGTGCAGGCTGTTCTTTGGTGAGGGGTATTTGGTCAGGTGTGTTTCCTCTTGTGCAAAGGCAAAGGATATCTGCAGCACCTTTCTGAGCACTAAAACAAAGGGGCTGAGTGGGGAGGTTTTCAAATGCATCTGTGATCTGAGCATCTGCAGAATACAAGGCAGTTGAATACATGAAAAGAAGAAGTTAATAACACTGGGCTATAGAGAATTCTGATGCAAATGAACCAGAAGTTGGCAGAGACCAGTCTCTTTTCATGTCTGCTTTTGACAGTCACAAGAGTGTGATGCAAGGCTTATATTCAGAATTAATCCTACCTTGCATTGAAGCTTCTGGATTCCAGGCTGATTTCCTCTGCATTTGTGTTGTTCTGATCACATCGACTGATTTGATGTTCCTGCTTTCAGGATTATATTTAAGTTTCCCCTTTGCACAGGTTTTATTTCCAATTTTTTAATTCTGTCTCTTCAAGTCCACGTTGTGCTTTGCCTTAATGTGGCAAAGCAGGATGGCTCCATGTGCCCCTCAGCAGCAAATCGGGGTCCAGGCACTTACTTTTGAAGTTATTCCATTGAGATTTCAGGTTTCTTAAGGAAAAGAAACTGCTAAGAACTCTTTTTTGTGCTGGTAAATAACTCATAGGGCAGCACAAACCTGAAGGTCAAAGGAACAAAAAGTCTCAACTACAAGAAAAAGTAACAGAGGAAGAGCAACTTTTTTAATGCAGGGACTGTTTTGTGGGTTTTTTTACCAGTGTTTAATACAAGATTAGGCTCTGTTTGATAAGCCAAGGACTGCAATGGAGCACTGACTTCCAAGGAAAATTATGTTGGTGACTTTGCTGATTGTGGAGAACACGGCTCTTGAACTTAGAACTGCAGTGTCTGAGGGCTGCAAGGAAATCTGTGTTAATGACCAAGCTGCAGATGGGCTCCTGAGTGACTCTGAGGGCAGAGGTTTGTGTTAACTCAGGGTGAGTTCACAGGGATCAGCCCCTGCAGCTGGAAGGTGTGTTTGCAGTGCACAGGGAGTGGGACTCGCTGCAACCAGCCCGTTTGTGATAAGGCTTTGTTGTAGTGACCCAGGCAAAAGAAGGAGCTTTCCCTCTCCTTCCATCTCCCTTCCCTTTGAACATGAGGAGTTCACCCCAGCACAGCACTTAGGAAGGGCCTGCAGGGACAATTCCCTCCCTTGCTCCCCCTTGGCAGTGGGAGAACAGGGTTTGGCCATTCCACTTGGAATTCGTGCCTCTGCTCTCAGCTCACTGCAGGGCTGCAGAAGGGTCTGTCAGTGGCACTGGGGACACGGATAACCAGGAGGAATCGAAGGCAGAGGAGCCATTTCACTGTTTTGTTCTCTCTCATTGGGCTGTTTGCAAGGTTTGGGCAGTTATGGAACTCGTGACCCAACTTCCTCCAGTCTGACAACAGGGTGTTTATCTTCCTCCTTGGACTTGGGTGACTTCTGGCAAGGAAAAGCCCCAGAACCACCACCAGCCCTGCCATTATCAAGGGCCAGCTGGTGGCTGAAATGGCAACTTCAGTATCTTTTAGCAGTTTGTTCTGGGATGTGTTCCCGTGGCAGTCCAGGACATACAAATACAGCATCAGCCTGGAAATCCTGAGAGCCAGAATTCTCTAAGGACAGATCCCAACCCCTCTCCTGCATTCCTGTCATAAATGCTGGAAGCACTGCTGGCCTGGGGGCAGGAAGCAACTGCAATTCCCAGACCTCCAGACAAGGTGTTTTACAGAAAACCAAGAGCAGGTTTTCCCTGGCGTTGCCTTTGGTCTCCCCACTTGGAATTGCAGACAACGTTGACTTTACCAGTGTGAAAGTTTAGCAGGTTTAAGGGGTGTTGGACTTCAGAGGGGTCCTACAGAAAACAGAATTCATCCCTCTGGCCTGCAGACCAGGCTGGTAACCGGGTTTAAAATGCAGTGCTGCAGCAGTTTGCCTGTAGAATCAGGGAAACTGTAGCAACTGAAAGCTTTTACATTTTCTAGTTAATCGAGCTGCTTTCCTGAAAAGAGTCAAGGTCCTTCCTTAGAAGAATCACCAGTTTTCCTGTGAACAGTGAAATGGTGTGATAAGCAGACCAGTTTTTGAATTCTTTTTAGTAGAGTAGCAACTGGAAACCCATAAACTGCAGAATTCTTGCTTCTCAGGCACACACAGCTTCCTGTGCCAGTGAGATTACAGTCCTGACAAGATGGATCAAGAGGAAAGTCGTTGTTTTTATCTGTTTTGAAGGCACAAACCCAGACTCCATTAGTCACATGGGGAGAGACAGAGCACCTCCCAAACACCCTGAGCTGGATCTCAAGCTGTTCTCCACAGCTCTGTCTCTTCTCCACATCCTGCTGGGACACAGGAGGTAAGTCCTGGCTGCTTCTTTTGATCCTCCACATGTTGGATTTCTCCAGAATCTCTCCACTTGTGTTACCTAACCCTTCTTTCCTGGCTGCCAGCAGCTCTCAATCCTCCCCTGACGCTATCAAAGGAGATCTCTGTCGTACGTTTGAAGATTCCTCCCAGAGCAAAGGGGCCAGGACAGAAAGCTCTTGCTGCCATGGAGTACCCAGGCTGGCCCACAAAATCCACCCAAGAGCCAAAGGTTGCAGGCTTGCTTGGCTGGGGAGAAGGGCTCTTGGTTTTAAATAATTAAAACAAATTAATAAGTACATAAATAATTAAATAATTAAAATTATTTAAAAGTTCTGTTGTTTCCAACACCCCCACCCCCAGGGCTCCCCCAATCTCCTGCAGCCCCCCAAAATGCCTGCACTGACTTCCAGTGCCTGGGAGGGGGGAGGTCTGAAAAGGGGCCACCCTTGCACCCCAAAAATCATGGAGGGGCACAACAAACGTTTTGGAGGGGCTGCAGTTTGGGGACCCTGCCCCAGTACGGGGTCACCCCACCCAGGGTGTTTTGGGAGGCCTCTTTTGGGGTTTTTTGGCTTGAGGGACAGGAGATTTTGGAGTCCCCCCATGTCCCCTAAACTGCCTGTAAATAAATACTGAGTCCAGCATCCTTCTTATCACTTTGGGGGCTCCGTGGTGGGATTGCTGGGGTGTCTGTGCAGGGAGAAGAGTTGGACTGGAGGATCCTCGTGGATCCCTTCAGCTCAGGACATTTTATGATTCCACAATTCCAGACATTCCCTGGTAGTGCCACTTAGGACCAAGGACTCCTGAAGCTTAAATTACCTCAGTTTGGGGCTGAGGTTTTTCCCCACTTAATTTTTTTCACCCCCCAAGTTTTTCAGACTCCTTTGTCTGGGAAGAAAGTTGCCATGTCTGGGGCTTCTCAGGTGAGGGCCAGCAGTGCTGGGTGGTGACTCTTTGGAAAGGGATATTTGTGGGGGCAACCCCTCAAAAGGACAAGTGCAGCCTCCTTCCCCTTGATGGGTGAAGCCTGGCCCTACAGCCACACACTGAGGTCACAGTGGGACATTCTGCCTCCCTTGACAACACCCCAATGCCCACTTCCCTAGAACCAGGACTAGGACCATCCGTGGGGAGCTGCTCCCAGGATCTGGTGCCCCGGTTTGGGGCCATGGTGAGATGGAGAGGAGGAGGAGAGTAGCTCGAGCACGAGGAGCTGCAGCCAAGACAGAGCCCTTTCCTGGCTCCCTCCTTGCTCTGTCCCCAGACCTGGTGTATTTCTCCAAGGATGGTGAGGCCTTGAGGTCCCCTGAGGCCCAGGAGCCATGGGATAATCCCAGCTTTTCACAGGGTCACAGAATATGCTGAGCTGGAAGGGACCCACAGGGATCATCCAGTCCAACTCCTGGCCCTGCCCAGACCCATCCCCAAGAGTCCCACCCTGTGCCCCAGAGGATCATCCAAACCCTCCTGGAGCTCTGGCAGCCTTGGTGCTGTGCCCACTGCCCTGAGGAGCCTGGGCAGTGCCCAACCAGCCTTTGGGGGAAGAACCTCTTTCTAATCTCCAACCTGAGCCTGCCCTGACCCAACTCCAGGCCATTCCCTGGGTGCTGTCCCCAGTCCCCACAGAGCAGAGCTCAGTCCCTGCCCCTCCCCAGGAAGCTGGAACTGCACTGAGGTCTCCCCTCAGTCCCCTCTTCTCCAGCTGAACACCCCAAGTGCCCTCAGTGTCCTCACACGGCTTCAAATCCAGGCCCTTCCCCATCTGTGTTGCCTCCTTTGGACACTCTCCAATGGCTCAATATCTCCCTGACATTGTGTCCCCCCAAACTGCCCCAATATTGAGGTGAGGCCGCCCCAGGGCAGAGCAGAGCAGGACAATCCCCTCCCTGATGCCCCAGGACAGGGTTGGCCCTCCTGGCTGCCAGGGCACTGCTGACTCAGGGCCAACTGGCACCACCAGGACCCCCAGGCCCTTTCCTGGCGCTGCTCTCCAGCATCTGGCTCCCCAGTTGCCCAAATGTGCCATTCCTGACTCTCTTCTCCTGGTATTCCCATCTGGTGTTTCCACAGTCACTCAAACAGTCCCACTTGTGCCAATTTCAGGGTTTGAACTGCAGAATTCTTCACTGCAAGTTCAGAAAAGGTGACTCATTACCAGGGCCCTTCTGTGGATTTTGACTTTACTGCAAAATTAACAAAAAATATGTTTTTTAGCAAATCAGCAAATATGAGGAAAGAACAGATATGGGTTTTGGGGAATCAGAAAATATGTTGAATTAGAAAGAAAATTGCATTGCTTTTGGATATCCTTCATTAGACCATTCTTGATTTTAGAGGCTACACTGATTGAGAGGCTACTCCAGTCACCAGTAATAAATGTGTTGGTGGCTTTCCCCAGGAGGAGTCCCTGTGGAGAAGGGGATGTGAGGTTAGGAAGGCGAGGGGAAATGATGATCTTCATAACCTCAACGTGGCCCTTCCTTCTCTTTTTCCAACAGTAATCACTAAAATTTGGGACTGTGTGTCCGAGTGCTGCCGCCAAGACCTGCTGCTGAAGAAGGTGGGGTTGGTTTCCTTGTCCTCCCTCAGGTCATGGGGGTTTCTTGACTCTTCCCTGTCCTGCCTGGCCCTTCCTCATCTGGCTTAAGTGTCCCAGGCAGTTGGAGAGAGCAGACAAGCAGCACTTTAGCAGGAGAGTGTTGGATTTCTTTTTTTTTGGAGTCTTTTCCAGCACAGCTGGAAGGGAGGAACACCCAGTGGGAGAGCCCAGGCAGTGCTCTGACAGTTCTCAGCTCTTGGCACTCCTTGGGCCTTCCCAGGATCTGTGTGTCCTGCACACTGCAGGGAGTGAGGAACCCTCTGTGGTGCAGGGCTCTCCTGAGTGCTCCATCTCAGGCCTTGCAGCAGCAGGGCTGGAAAGGCCACAGATCCCCCTCAGTGGAGTCCACACAAGCCTTTTCCCCTGTCTGCTCTCTGAAAAGTGCCTGGCCTTGCTTATCACCTGCCTTTGATTCCAGAGGGTCGGGCTGATGGGCCTGGGGACCATCCACATCATGAAAAAACCCATCTGGCAGGGAAAACTGGAAGGTTTCTTGGTTGACAGTCCCGAGTTCGACCTGGACAAGCCATTCCTGGTGGGGAACAAGCTCCCTCATGGGAACAGTCTGGCACCTGGTAAGATGAGCCCTGGACACTGCTGGGGCCCTGCCAGCAGCACCCTAAATCCAAGGGGTGCTGGTACTGCTGGGCAGCTCTCTTGGAAGTGTTCCTGGCAGTCACTGCACAGGCCCACGGAGGCACGAGATGTGCTGCTGGGTCCTCCTGGTGGGAGGGTCGGTGGCTCTGGAGTGGCCGGTGACCCCGGGAGGGCCGAGCGGGTGATGTTGCCGTGGGCTGGTTTCTCCCCAGAGCTCTCCAGAGCCGACGAGCTGGTCTGTGCCGAGGTTGCCCTGCGCCTGCACGTGCCCAAGGCCACCGTCGTGATGTGCATCAAGGCCACCACGAGGGTCTTTGAGTGGGCCTTGGCCAGCAGGCAGAACTTCGACTTCATGTTCAAGGACATCGGCGTCCTGGTGTGCCGAGGGGGGCACGTGGCCATGAGGTTCTTCGAGGACCTGGCCCGGGAGGTGGCTCAGTCCGAGAACCTGGCAGACAGTTTGCTCCAGGTGGGTCTGCCACACCTTCCAACTCTTGGGCAGCTTCCCATGGTCCTGCTGACCGGGCCTGCCCTCCTGCCCCCGGAGGGTCCTGCCTGGAGGAGGAGCTGTGCTGGGCTTGGAGACACCTTTTGGTGTCCCAAAAGGTCAAGGTGGTGGGGAGGCCGGTGGATGTGGACACGATGCAGGGTGCAGAGGAGGAGGGTGGGGGAGAGGCAGCTGGAGTTGGGCTGGGGAGACAGACAGGGAGCTGAGGCTGGGATGGCAGAGGGGCTATTGGGATTGGGGGTGGCAGAGAGGGAGCTGGGGATGGGGTGGGGTAAAGGCAGCTGGGGTTGGGGTGACAGAAAGGCAGTTCAGTTGTGATGGTGGAGAGGGAGCCGGAATTGGGATGATGGAGAGGTAATCGTGGTTGGGATGGAGGAGAGGCAGCTGAGATTGGGGTGACAGAGGGGCAGCTGGGGTTGGGTTTTAGGAGAGGTATTTGGGGTTGAGGAGACAGAGAGACAGCTGGGGTTGGGGTGAGAGAGAGGCAGCAGGGATTGGGGTTGAGGAGACACATTTGGGGTTGGGGTGGTGGAGAGGGAGCTGGGGTTGGGGAGACAAAGAGGCAGTTGGGGTTGGGGTGACAGAGGCAGCTGTGGTCGGGTTTGAGGCGAGGTTTCTGCCTGTTGAGCAGGGTAAATTCCCCGTGGATCCCTGCCATGTCTCTGTCCCTGTTGCAGTCACCAAACCTGAGGCAATCATTCACAGCCCACATGGAAAAGGACATTTCCGAGCTGCCTCCTGGAGGTGTCTTGGTGTTGCCACAGTGAGTCCCTTTTTTCCTGTTCCAGGGCTGTGTTCCCTCCTGGCTGGGCAGTGTCCCAGCCCCTCCCTGCTGAGCTGCCCTGGGTGCTACTGCTGCTGGTCTCCTCCTGAGGTTGGGTGGGAAGAACTCTGCCCCATTCTGGCTTCTTTGGGAAGTGCCTCCAGGTGGATTCCCTGGGAAGAAGGCCCGTTTTGCCTTCCCACCTGTGTGGGAAGTGCCCTGGAGATGCAGTTGGGGGCCATGGTACAGAACTCCACCATCTCCTTCCCTTTCCTTGGAGTGGGACTGAGAACCAAGAGGCCACAGAGCCCGGGATATTCTCAGGTCCCAGAGCCTGGGATGCTCCCAGTCACTGTGTGTTTGCTTCCCTTGGAAAGCACCTCTGACAAGGGGTATCCCAGACTTGCCTGAGAGGAGCCCTGTGGATGGAGGCTCCAGGGAAATGTTTTGCCACTCCTTCTACTGTGTCTCATTTGGAAAACTGGATGGCTGGGAACAGCTCCTTCCCAGGGGCTGCCATGGACTCTGCTACATCCATTCCAACTGAGGTCTCCACATTCTTTCCAGCTTTGTGCAGGTGGATGGGAAGTCAAAGCCACATCCTGTGACTGCTTCCCTGCAGAGCTCTGGAACAAGTGCTGAGCACCAGCTGACTCCGGGTACATCCCCTCCCAGAACTGATCTCCTCCATGCTCAAGGGAATCCCCTCTCCAGCCTAAAAGCTGTCCCAGTAGGTCACCCTTTCTCTACCTGGGGCCCCAAGGCAGCAGTGGGGCAGCTCCAGGGAGTAGCACGGCCCTCAGGGAAGGGGAGTGGGTTGGGACAGGAGGGCTGGCACATCCTTCATGTCCAAAGTGTTCCAGAGGTGCAGCTGAGAGGAGCTTCCTCTTTGCCTTCCCCAGGGAATGTTCCTGGCCAGCGCCTTCTTTCTCGCCCACGTGTTTCTCCGAGTCGGATACGGGATGTGGAAAAGAGAAAGGCTGATGCTGGAGGGCAGAGAGGGAGGTGAGTCCTGGAGAGTGGCTCTAGGGAATGCCAAGTGCCATGTGCTCCTGGGTGGATGTGAGGAGCTGCCACCTTTGGCCACTGTGCCTGTGCCAGAGCAGATCCCAGCATGGGCACGAGGACTTGGCTCTTCATAGAATCACAGAATCAGCTGGGTTGGAAGGGACCTCTGAGATCATCCAGTCCAACCCTTGATCCAACCCCGCTGTGGTTCCCAGCCCATGGTACTGATGCCACATCCAGTCTCTTCTTAAAAACCTCCAGGGATGGAGAATCCACCCCTTCCCTGGGCAGCCCATTCCAATGGCTGAGCACCCTCTCTGGAAAGAAATTCTTTCTAATATCCAACCTAAACCTCCCCTGGCACAACTTGAGACCCAGCCCTCTTGTCTTGCTGATGGTTGCCTGGGCAAAGAGACCAATCCCCCTGGCTCCCCTCTCCTGGCAGGGAGTTGCAGAGAGTCAGGAGGTCTCCCCTGAGCCTCCTCTTCTCCAGGCTGAACAACCCCAGCTCCCTCAGCCTCTCCTCATAGCACTCGTGCTTGAGTCCCTTCCCCAGCCTCGTTGCTCTTCTCTGGACCTGCTCCAGTCCTTCCATGTCCTTCCTGAGCTGAGGGCCCAGAACTGGACACAGCACTCCAGGGGTGGCCTCACCAGCGCTGAGTCCAGGGGCAGAATCACTTCCCTGACCCTGTTGGCCACCCTGTTCCTGAGCCAGGCCAGGATCCATTGGCCTTCTTGGCCACCTGGGCACACTCTGGCTCATGTTCAGCTTCTTCCCATGGGGTGGGAGGAATGCACAGGGATCTTGGGAGGGCACAACCCTGGGGGGATGTTGTTCCTCAGACAAAGTGCTCCTGTGGTGTTTGCAGTTTGCTGCCTCCCATTATTGGGAGCTCTGGGCAGAAGGGCAGAGCTGTGGAGCAGATGGAAGCACCTGGAGCTGGTGTCCTTGCTCCCAGAAGGCAGGTGAGCTGTGTCCCGGTACGTGGTCCGGGATCCTGTCCTGTGTCCCAGGACAGGGTATGGAGGAGGGATCATGTCCTGTGTCCTGGTGTGTGACACAGGTGTGGGATCCTGTCCTGTGTCCCAGGACAGGGTATGGATGAGGGATCATGTCCTGTGTCCCAGGACAGGGTATGGATGAGGGATCATGTCCTGTGTCCTGGTGTGTGACACAGGTGTGGGATCACATCCTGTGTCCCTGTGGGAAGGCTGCATCCACCCTGAGGATAGGGAGGCTTGAAGGATCCCTTTGGATGTGTTCATTCCAGAATGCCTTTTGGCTCCTCCCCTCGGCCTTGGGAATGACTCCAGTGGTCTGTGCTGCCCTTGCCAAGGCTTTTTTCCTGAACTGGGTCTTTAGAGTGTCGAGGTTTCCATAAGAAGCAGAAGGTCCCTGTCAAGGGTTTTGGGGGGGGGAGAGAAGAGGAAACCAAAGTGTCCCTTGGGTCACAGGCTGTGGGATGGGATTTGGACTGTTGTCAAAATGTCTGAGCTGCCTCCCTTTTCTCCACACAACAGTTCCTACCCGTGGCAGAGCAGGGGAGGCAGGAGAAGGAAGCTGCCTCCCCCCCCGGGCAGTTCGAGAGGGTGAGGAAGAAGAGGGCAGCTGCTGTGGCAGGAGTGGCAGCTGCCCTGTCCCCACAGGGAGAGGAGACCATGAAAACCCCTTCCCCTCTTGGCAGGAGGCAAAAGCCAAAGTAAGAGTTTGGAAAAGCCAGAGAGGATTGAGGAGGTGGGAGGGAAAAGTGGAGCCCTGAGCTGGATACGGCCCCTTGGATTTCCCCAGAGTATCCCAGGATAACCCATGATGTCCAGGGTCTCATGGGCCTGGAGCTTGTCCTGTGTTGAACGGGGTGCTGGGGGCAAAGGCAATGTGGGCACAGAGGCAGGAGAGGGTAGGGACAGGGACAGGGAGAGGGACAAGGGGACAGGGGGACACTGACAGGGA